GAACATCGGGGACATGCGAACATCCATGATGTTTGCACGTTTCCGATGTTACGCTGTGTGCTGGGCCAGCACACGCTGAAAACACGCTGAACTCTTTGACAAAGGTTCGACCGTGTTCGAGACCCGAGCAGGGTAAACTCATTTTAGTGTTCTGGTTTCGAACATGGTTTCGAACATGCTTATTTCATTCTCAAGGATTTCACTCTTTTCGGACGCGGGATAGGCTTAAATTTTTGTCCATAAATTCAGGCTATCTTAACCATGTCCGCGCTCAGACAAGTGACCGATGCCTCCAGTGGACGTCGACGAACGCATGAGCGGGCCGGACCGGGCCGAATAGCCTGGGGGGCGACAGGGCGCGACGTCGACACAATATTCGTGCACACAGAGTTGTATGCATAGCATGCGATTCGCCAATACCTGGGAGAAAAGATGAGATACGCTTGGAGTCGAAGGTGCCCGTGACCGCTATCCCTCACGCTATCGTTCGCATAGGTTTACAAACATGAAAAGAAGAAACAAGATGTTCATAACCCGATCCTAAGCTACCAATACACACAGATACTCACAAAACGAGATAAGCGCACGATACTCTACTAGCCGTCCAAACTTCACTCATCCTCCTCAGCCCCCCACACCTCAACCTCCTCCACAAACTCCCCCACCAGCCCCCTCATCTCCCCAATCATGCCCGCCCTCTCCCACTCCTGCCGATGCTTCCACACAACATTCAACAAGCTCGCGCGAAGCTGCTCGAGCTGCTCGACGCTCAGCGCATGTGTATCCTTCTCGAGCGCACCCGCGAGCTCCGCGAGCTCTGTCTCGTCCACGACGAAGGGCGGTGGCGGCGGCGGTGTAGGCGAGCGCGGGGGCGGCGGCGGGGAGGCAACGACGATCATGGGCTCGTCTTCGGTCGTAGATTGGGCTTGAACGTCGGGCGCAGGTGTACCCTGAGCAGTCGGACGCGGCGTCGGGCTCATAGTATGCGTACGCACAGGCGACGGCGCAGCGAGTGGACCACGTATAAAGCGGTCCGTCGGCGAGATAGGGTTCAACAACGCCGGATCGAATCCGGCACCGGCCGGTCTCTGCTGGTCCTGCTCGGGCTGCTGCGGCTGAGGTGCAGCAGGCTGGTCGAGCGGCGTAGGAGGGAACGCGTTGGGACCTGACGCGCCAGGACCGTACAACGGCTGCCCAGTGAACGCGCTCCGTTGTTCGAACCCGTTCTGCTGCTGCTGGGGTGGTTGCTGGGGCTGAGGCTGCTGCTGCATCCCGTCGTACGCATCGAACGAGAACTGGTCGTGCCCTTGCGCGTTATACCCGCCGGGCCCACCAAATCCTCCCTGGAACTGATTCCCACCGAACTCTCCCATTCCGTTTTGCGGTGCTCCGTACTGGCCTTGCTGCCCGTACCCGCCCTGGGGTCCCCCAAATCCGCCCTGCTGACCACCATACGCGCCATGCTGTCCGCCAAATCCACCCTGCTGCCCACCAAATCCACCCTGCTGCCCTCCAAAACCGAACTGCTGTTGCTGCTGTTGATGTGACTGCTGCTGCTTATACTCAAACCCAGCCCCAGGCTCCGGCGGCGGCAACTGCGCAAAAGCGCCCGGCGCCGTCGCCGCATGCGGGCGCACAGGGTCGTACGCGATCTGCGGCGGCGGGTGCTGCCCATGTCCATGTCCGCCCGCGTACCCGTTGACCATATCCGTCGCGGGCTCGAGCGGCGCTTGTTGCTGGTACGGGCTCTGCTGTGGCGGCGCGAACTGGTGGCCCTGAGGGTACTGCTGATGATGCTGGGCGAAGATATGCGCGCCCGGTGCTGCGCCGTCCACGAAATGCACGCCCGGCGCCCCATCGCCCCCATTGAGCCCGCTGGGCCCCGCGACAGGCCCGCCCACATCCTCACTACTGACCCTGCTCCTCTTCGCGCCCCTCTCAGCATCATCAGCACTACGCTGCCTCTTCAAGCTCCGCTCAAGCGCGAGCGGATCCTCCATCACAAACTCCAGCTTGCCCCCCTGATTCCTCGCGCTCCTCCTAACCACACCTACGCCCTCCTCCTCGCTGCTCCCCCGCCCTTTCCCTTTATTCCCCGCGCGCCCCTCCTTAGCGTCCAACGCCCGCCTCGCCTCCCTCCTCTCCCTCCTCCTCTCCCTCTCCCTCCCCGCCATCCGCTCACACTCCGCCCTAAACCCCGCGTCGAAATCCTGGCAGCTGAGCTGCGCAGCCGTATACATCGTCTCGGCCCTGACCCTCCGATCCGGGTCCTGGTCCCCGCACACCCGCGCGTTGTGCACGATGCGCGCGATGTCGTCCAGAAAGGCCTGCGGCGTGAGGTACCGGTCCTCGAACAGCGCGCGGTGCATCTTTTCGAGGTCGACGTCGTAGAGCTGCGGTGAGGGTTGTTTTGGTGGAGGTGGAGGGGGAGGAGGGGGGAG